AAACGTATTTAATAATAATTTACACTTAAGATACACACCGTAATCAAAATATCAGAAGTATCCTTGATTTGGTTTGCGATATGTCTATTTGGTAATTCAGTCACTTCATCTACGATTAATTTACGCTTTCTGCGATTTGGTGTTGCAGATTGAATAACCTCATCCTGAAATAATTCAGGAACTTCTTGTTCAGGACTTCGTGGAGACAATGGAGTAAACCTCATAGTTTCTTGAACAGTTTCATCTTCCTGATTTTGAATTTCATCCGTGATTGTAATAGTCGGTTGTTTATCATTATCAATTTCTGTAGTTGTAACAGTAGTCGTAATTTCCTCTACATTTGTAACAGTAGTCGTAATTTCCTCTACTAAATTTGTAACATTTGTATCAAGATTAACATCTATTTCTAGTGGTCTTGTTTCAAGACTTTCTGATGATGGTCTACCAATATCTAAAGTTGGCATATCTACAGTATCTTCTATGAGATTGTCGTCCAATAGATTATCATCCATAAGATTTAATTCAGGACCATCATCTATTATCATTAATGGGTCATCTTCAACGGCATTTTTACTACCACTACCAATTACATCTTCTATTGTCATCGACAATTCAGGTTGTGCATCTCTCGCCATTTCAATATCAACAGATCCATCGTTACTTTCAGACCTGGCATCGTGACCATGCGTCTTCGAATCGAATTCATCATCTAAATCAAGATCCAGACCTCGACCATCTTCTGTATCGAAAGCATCACCTAATAAATCATCCCCAATATTTGAAGTTAATGAAACATCAAAATTGTCTCTTATAGTAATGTCTTGTGGTCTGGAGATGTTTGATGAACTTGTAGTTGCAACCGGTGTTATATCAGTCCATTGTCTAATTTAATTACGTTTGTATTAGTTAATTAATAAAAATGACGTAAATATTTAAGCAATTATCTGAGTTTCATTACTTGATATTAAGACTAGGATCTGGTAATAATATATCAAACTCCGTAATATTATCAGGTAATGTGATAGATTCAAAATTAGCTATTCGTTGTTCTTCAACTAAATCAACTTCACCCGGTCTAAATGCCTTTATACAAAAGAAAAATTAATATGTGATCAGATCAATAATGCCAGATACCATAATTATATAATTATATAATGTTGATTGAATTTAAATACC